CATCTGGACCTGGGTACAGCGACACATGAGGGCACAGAGCACATGAGGGCACAGAGCACACGTGAGGGCACACACCACACGAGGGCACAGAGCACACGTGAGGGCACACACCACACGAGGGCACAGACTGGATGCATTGTTGGGACTCATTTTCACACACAACGCACACACATACACACACACTAACTGGAGGCACTGTTGGGACTCACTTTCACACACAAACACTAACTGGAAGCACTGTTGGGACTCACTTTCACACACACACACTAACTGGAGGCACTGTTGGGACTCACTTTGACAGATTTGATCCTGCGCAGAGTCACCTCGTCCCCGTCTCGAGTCGACACGGTGTTTGTTTTGTACTGGAAACCTGAAACACACACACAGGGTTAGTGCTCCTGTCTGCACCTGTCTGCTCCTGTCTGGAGGAGAGGAGGTGTGTGTGTGTGTGTGTGTGACCTGTGACTTCTCCTCGACACGGCGTCACTCCCATGGACACGGCCTTCCTCCTGAACGAACTGAGCAGAGACCAGGGATCAAACCAGCCCTCGTTCTCCAGGCCTGAAACACACAAACGAAACACACAACTGAAACACACAACACAACTGAAACACACAACTGAAACACACAACACACAACTGAAACACACAAATGAAACACACAACACACAACTGAAACACACAACTGAAACAACACAAACGAAACACACAACACACAACTGAAACACACAACACACAACGAAACACACAACTGAAAACACAACACAAACGAAACACACAACTGAAACACACAACACAACACACAAGACGCACACACAGTTCATGATCCTGGTCCCAGTTTGATGTCGTCCGTCACTTCTCAGAAAATAACTTTTGTATTTAATTCTCAAACTAAACTAAACACAGCGACTTCTATTAAAGTAACAAGCTGAAAACTGCAGACACAAAACACTCTGTTCCACCTCGTGATGTCATCATGTGGTCATACAGGAAGTGTCCCACTGTGTTTTTAAACTCCACACATCTTTACTAGAATCATCTAGATCAGTGGTGCTCAATACATCGATCTCGATCTACAGTCGATCTCCAAGGTCGTGTGGGTAGATCGTCGTGTCTCGTCTCGGACTCGTGTTTGGACTCGGTCTTGTCTCTCACTCGAGGTCTGACACTCAACAAGTGTGATCATATTTCATTCCGGCCGCTGCTGTTGGTAATAAACTTGTAGCGGGTGCAGGAGCGTGTGGGGCGTCTCAGTGCAGCCTGTGCGCTCATTTGAAACCCGCGGAGACTCTACGGCGCATCACAAACACACACGCTCCCTACGCACGGCTCGTCTGCGACAGCGTGTGCCCTCGTGTACCAGCGTGCATCACAGGGCAGGTTCAACTTCCTAAACATCCTACCTGTCCACCTGCCTCACGTCAGCACGCCGCCCCTCGCCTTTTCACGCTCTCGCTCCTTCCTGCGTACAGCCAACACAAGCCCCTCCCACAGTGCGGCTGATTAGAAGAGCAAGACCAAACGTGAAGCAAAAACCAGTCTAAATTTGTGTTCCAGTGTTGGCACAAAGCAGGTCTACAGCATAGAGCGGATCTACAGAACAGACCTACTGCCACATTTGGCTGAAGTTTGTCTAACAAAAGTGACAAATGCATCTGTGTTTGTCACGATGTGCGTTTGGTTTGGTAAACGTGCAGAGGCTGGTAAATATCACTGCAAAACCACAAAAGAATGAAACTCCAGTTTGGAACTTTAAAAAACAGGTTTAAAAATCTTCCTTCACTTTTTTCACAGTTTTGTGTAAAGTGCCAGAGGAAGTTCTCTTAAAGAAGAGGTTCTCAAACTGTGGGGGAGGGTCCAGAAAAGGGCACAGAGTGTTTCAGTGCAGTTTGTTTGACTTTGTATCAGGTCGATCATTTTGACTTGGTCATTTTGTAAGAAGCTCACATGATGAAAAAGTGTGAACACCTCTGGTCTGGATTATTTCAGTCCTGGATTCACTGATCTCGACTGAACTAAAAAGAAAAGGAAACAACCACTTCATGACATCACGAGGTGGAACAGAGTGTTTGGAGCTTTGGAGATGTAACAGACTCAGAATGAAGATTAACTCAAACAAACACAACTCCAGCTCTGAGTGTGACCAGGACCATCAGAACATGAGAACATGAGAACAGTAGAACATGAGAACAGTAGAACATGAGAACAGTAGAACATAGAACAGTAGAACAGTAGAACAGTAGAACAGTAGAACATTAGAACAGTAGAACAGTAGAACATTAGAACATGAGAACAGTAGAACATTAGAACAGTAGAACAGTAGAACAGTAGAACATTAGAACAGTAGAACATTAGAACAGTAGAACATTAGAACAGTAGAACAGTAGAACATTAGAACATGAGAACAGTAGAACATTAGAACAGTAGAACAGTAGAACAGTAGAACATTAGAACAGTAGAACAGTAGAACATTAGAACAGTAGAACAGTAGAGCAGTAGAACATTAGAACAGTAGAACATTAGAACAGTAGAACAGTAGAAGAGTAGAACATTAGAACAGTAGAACATTAGAGCAGTAGAACAGTAGAACAGTAGAACATTAGAACAGTAGAACATTAGAACAGTAGAACAGTAGAACAGTAGAACAGTAGAACAGTAGAACATTAGAAACAGTAGAGAACAGTAGAACAGTAGAACAGTAGAACATTAGAACAGTAGAACAGTAGAACAGTAGAACAGTAGAACAGTAGAACAGTAGAACAGTAGAACATTAGAACAGTAGAACATTAGAACAGTAGAACAGTAGAACATTAGAACAGTAGAACAGTAGAACATTAGAACAGTAGAACAGTAGAACAGTAGAACAGTAGAACAGTAGAACAGAACATTAGAACAGTAGAACATTAGTAGAACAGTAGAACAGTAGAACAGTAGAACAGTAGAACATTAGAACAGTAGAACAGTAGAACATTAGAACAGTAGAACAGTAGAACATTAGAACAGTAGAACAGTAGAACATTAGAACATTAGAACAGTAGAACATTAGAACAGTAGAACAGTAGAACATTAGAACAGTAGAACAGTAGAACATTAGAACAGTAGAACAGTAGAACATTAGAACAGTAGAACATTAGAACAGTAGAACAGTAGAACATTAGAACAGTAGAACAGTAGAACAGTAGAACAGTAGAACATTAGAACATTAGAACAGTAGAACATTAGAACAGTTAGAACAGTAGAACATTAGAACATTAGAACATTAGAACAGTAGAACAGTAGTAGAACAGTAGAACAGTAGAACAGTAGAACATTAGAACAGTAGAACATTAGAACAGTAGAACAGTAGAACATTAGAACAGTAGAACATTAGAACAGTAGAACATTAGAACATTAGAACAGTAGAACATTAGAACAGTAGAACAGTAGAACAGTAGAACATTAGAACAGTAGAACATTAGAACAGTAGAACATTAGAACAGTAGAACAGTAGTAGAACAGTAGAACATTAGAACAGTAGAACAGTAGAACAGTAGAACATTAGAACAGAACATTAGAACATTAGAACAGTAGAACAGTAGAACAGTAGAACATTAGAACAGTAGAACAGAACATTAGAACAGTAGAACAGTAGAACAGTAGAACAGTAGAACATTAGAACAGTAGAACAGTAGAACAGTAGAACATTAGAACAGTAGAACAGTAGAACATTAGAACAGTTAGAACAGTAGAACATTAGAACAGTAGAACATTAGAACAGTAGAACATTAGAACAGTAGAACAGTAGAACAGTAGAACATTAGAACAGTAGAACAGTAGAACATTAGAACAGTAGAACATTAGAACAGTAGAACATTAGAACAGTAGAACATTAGAACAGTAGAACAGTAGAACAGTAGAACATGAGTGTGTGTTAAACCTGTGAGGGTCTGTGTGTCTCTCACCGTACGAGGCCAGAACGACTCCGTCAGTGTTGATCCAGGGAAACTTGTCCTTGAGTTGAGTGGGAGACAGGAGAGACACTTTGGCTCCTGCAGATCTGAACACGACAAACATCAACGTGAGCCACAGCAACAGATGATGTTCCACAGTGTGACTTTAAACTGCTCCACTTTATATGTACTCAGGGACACGTTTAAGAAAAGAGAAACACCTCGAAAACCAGGACTAAACCAGGACTGAACCAGGTCTAAACCAGGACTAAACCAGGACTAAACCAGGTCTAAACAAGGACTAAACCAGGACTAAACCAGGACTGAACCAGGACTGAACCAGGTCTAAACCAGGACTAAACCAGGTCTGACCCAGTCGAGTGACTGCAGTGTTTCTATCATCTGTTTATTGTCTGTATATTTATGGCAAAGGAGAAGTTAAATTAGTCTTGTGTACGACTGACGTTTATTTGGTTGAAACATAAACTCTGAATATATTTACATGTGAAGGTGGAGCAGATTTTATATTTTCTGTGGTCCAATCACAGGCTGCTCTTGTGCTCGTCTTGTTGCTATGGAGACACTTTTATCTTTCCACAAAATTCTAATCTAAAACTGTCCCGTCGTATAATGTGAAACAAAGTGAGAGTCCTGGACCTCTGCGTCTTGTAGTTTTCCTCCATGATGTGAGCCACGTCTTCACTGGCCACAAACAAATACCCCGAGTGCTGGAACTGCAGGTCCACCGGGTCCTCGTTCAGAACACCCAGATGATCCTGAAACACACCACCCACCGTGAGTACTACTGTACTAAACCAGACTGAAGTACCAGACTACTGACTAAACACAGAGGACTAAACCAGAGGACTACTAAACCAGGAACCAGAACTGACTACTGAGACTAAACCAGACTAAACCAGGACTGAACTAAACCAGGACTAAACCAGGACTAAACCAGACTAAACCAGGACTAAACCAGGACTAAACCAGAACTAAACCAGGACTAAACCAGACTAAACCAGGACTAAACCAGGACTAAACCAGGACTAAACCAGGACTAAACCAGGACTAAACCAGGACTAAACCAGAACTAAACCAGGACTAAACCAGACTAAACCAGGACTAAACCAGGACTAAACCAGGACTAAACCAGAACTAAACCAGGAACTAAACCAGGACTAAACCAGGACTAAACCAGGAACTAAACCAGGACTAAACCAGGACTAAACCAGGACTAAACCAGGACTGACTGACTAAACCAGGACTAAACCAGGACTAAACCAGGACTAAACCAGGACTAAACACTAAACCAGGACTAAACCATCTGAAACAAACCAGTGTGAACAGTGTGTGTTCTTTAGTGTGAAACAGTGTGTGTTCTTAGTGTGAACAGTGTGTGTAGTGTGAACAGTGTGTGTTCTTTAGTGTGAACAGTGTGTGTTCTTTAGTGTGAACAGTGTGTGTTCTTTAGTGTGAACAGTGTGTGTTCTTTAGTGTGAACAGTGTGTGTTCTTTAGTGTGAACAGTGTGTGTTCTTTAGTGTGAACAGTGTGTGTTCTTTAGTGTGTCAGTGTGTGTTCTTTAGTGTGAACAGTGTGTGTTCTTTAGTGTGTCAGTGTGTGTTCTTTAGTGTGAACAGTGTGTGTTCTTTAGTGTGAACAGTGTGTGTTCTTTAGTGTGAACAGTGTGTGTAGTGTGAACAGTGTGTGTTCTTTAGTGTGAACAGTGTGTGTTCTTTAGTGTGTCAGTGTGTGTTCTTTAGTGTGAACAGTGTGTGTTCTTTAGTGTGAACAGTGTGTGTTTTTTAGTGTGTGAACAGTGTGTGTGTTCTTTAGTGTGAACAGTGTGTTCAGTGTGTGTCAGTGTGTGTTCTTTAGTGTGAACTTTAGTGTGAACAGTGTGTGTGTCTGTTCTTTAGTGTGAACAGTGTGTGTTCTTTAGTGTGAACAGTGTGTGTTCTTTAGTGTGAACAGTGTGTGTTCTTTAGTGTGAACAGTGTGTGTTCTTTAGTGTGAACAGTGTGTGTTCTTTAGTGTCAGTGTGTGTTCTTTAGTGTGAACAGTGTGTGTTCTTTAGTGTGAACAGTGTGTGTTCTTTAGTGTGAACTTGAGTGTGTGTTCTTTAGTGTGAACAGTGTGTGTTCTTTAGTGTGAACAGTGTGTGTTCAGTGTGTGTAGTGTGAACAGTGTGTGTGTGTGTTCTTTAGTGTGAACAGTGTGTGTTCTTTAGTGTGAACAGTGTGTGTTCTTTAGTGTGAACAGTGTGTGTTCTTTAGTGTGAACAGTGTGTGTTCTTTAGTGTGAACAGTGTGTGTTCTTTAGTGTGAACAGTGTGTGTTCTTTAGTGTGAAGAGGAGCAGACGTACGTTGATGTTCCTCATGAAGTGGGCGGAGTGCAGAGACAGGAGGATGTTCTCCGGGAGCGAGAACTGCTGCCTGATGCCTCCAGCCGACAGCACCGTGGACGCCTGCGAGTACTGCAACAAAACACACCGATTATTCACATTTACACACCGATTATTCACATTTACACACCGATTATTCACATTTACACACCGATTATTCACATTTACACACTTTTAAAGGTCCTGCATTACACCAAAGGGACCCCTGAGAGCTTTAAGTCTAATGTTCTAATGTTCTGTTGTTCTAATGTTTTAATGTTCTGATGTTCTGTTGTTCTAATGTTTTAATGTTCTGATGTTCTAATGTTTTAATGTTCTGATGTTCTAATGTTTTAATGTTCTGATGTTCTAATGTTTTAAATGTTCTGATGTTCTGATGTTCTAATGTTTTAATGTTCTGATGTTCTAATGTTCTAATGTTTTAATGTTCTGATGTTCTAATGTTTTAATGTTCTGATGTTCTAATGTTTTAATGTTCTGATGTTCTGTTGTTCTAATGTTTTAATGTTCTGATGTTCTAATGTTTTAATGTTCTGATGTTCTAATGTTTTAATGTTCTGATGTTCTAATGTTTTAATGTTCTGATGTTCTAATGTTCTGATGTTCTGTTGTTCTAATGTTTTAATGTTCTGATGTTCTAATGTTTTAATGTTCTGATGTTCTAATGTTTTAATGTTCTGTTGTTTTAATGTTTTAATGTTCTGATGTTCTAATGTTTTAATGTTCTAATGTTTGTGTTCTGATGTTCTAATGTTTTAATGTTCTGATGTTCTAATGTTTTAATGTTCTAATGTTTTAATGTTCTGTTGTTTTAATGTTCTGTTGTTTTAATGTTCTAATGTTTTAATGTTCTGATGTTCTAATGTTTTAATGTTCTGTTGTTTTAATGTTCTGTTGTTTTAATGTTTTAATGTTCTGATGTTCTAATGTTTTAATGTTCTGATGTTCTAATGTTTTAATGTTCTAATGTTTTAATGTTCTGTTGTTTTAATGTTCTGTTGTTTTAATGTTTTAATGTTCTGATGTTCTAATGTTTTTAATGTTTTAATGTTCTGATGTTCTGTTGTTTAATGTTCTGATGTTCTGTTCTAATGTTTTAATGTTCTGATGTTCTAATGTTTAATGTTCTGATGTTCTGTTGTTTTAATGTTCTGATGTTCTGTTGTTC